ATTATACATGTCAACAATTTCAAATTAGGCAGTCTCCCCATAAGAAGATAATAAAAACAAATAAAGATCAACTTATATCGATTGAAAAGTCGTAAGGTTGGTGTATCGTGTGTGTTCATATGTAAACAATTAAAAAGGAAGCATACAAAACTTCGGTTTCTATCACGAACAGTTTATTTTCTCTCCCTCTCATATATATATATATATATATATATACTTTCATAAAATAAAACATAATTTTTAATTTGAAACTTTTTATATATATATATATATATATATATATATATATATATATATATAACACGGTAGAAAACCGTTTCCAATGTCACTTAAGTATGTGCGTTTTCTTCTGCTTCAGAAGTTAGGGTAAGTAAAGATAAGAACCTTTTTAATGGTCGAGCACAAGTCAGCCTAGCGCAGAGTTGGAACGACCAAAGAAAAGGTTGATTTACTACAGGTTTTGCATGCGTTGGAAGGTGCAAAGAGTTCATTTGTCAGTGGACCGGGGAAACGAACAAGCTCAAGCGAGGACGTAACTAGCACATTGGGCTACATCTTGGAGCAAGATGAAGAAAAAGAAAGTAAATTTTTTGTCTTTTATAAACTTAAACAGCGCTGCCTCATGAGCGTTTGACGAAGCCAAGTAGGGTAATAAATTTTCGAGTTCCTTTACTACTAGGCTCATAGAAAACTGCATGTCTTTTTCTTTCTTTTTTTATTCATTATTATTCTTTTATTTATTGCTTGTACTTAATTTCCCCACATATTACATTTAAAACTGTTGTAACAATGTAAATTGTAGTTCTAGTTTGAAGCTTTGCCATAAATGCTAAAAATTAATTTACTGTGACTACTTAGCGCTGCTAAAAGCTTTATATAAAGTTCGCAGAAAATACAAGGAATGGTTCAAACTTTATCTACAACAAATTGTTAAGGTTAGTTACCCACATTAGATTGGCATTTCTCAGGGATATTTCGAATCATATAAATAGTGGACTAAACAAACAAAAACAAAACAAAAAAAACAAAACAAAAAATAACACAAAAAAAAAACACAAAAAAACACAAAACAAAACAAAAAAACACAAAAAAAAACAAAAACACAAAACAAAAAAAAAACACAAAACAAAACAAAAACACAAAACAAAACAAAAACACAAAACAAAACAAAAACACAAAACAAAACAAAAACACAAAACAAAACAAAAACACAAAACAAAACAAAAACACAAAACAAAACAAAAACACAAAACAAAACAAAAACAAAAAAAAAAACAAAAAACAAAAAAAAACAACAAAAAAAACAACAACCAAAAAAACAACAACCAAAAAAACAACAACCAAAAAAACAACAACCAAAAAAACAACAACCAAAAAAACAACAACCAAAAAAACAACAACAGCAACCTTTGAAACAGGGTCGCAATGTAAATACCAAAAGATAAACTTCGGGATGTTTGGAAGTCTCAATATAAAGCGTTTTTTTATCTTCCTTGTGCCGTGTCCCAGTTTCTTGCTTCAAATGCCACCTACAATCTTCCAAGATTTAAATGCAACGCCAATCGCCAATTTTATCTTCCTTTTCTTTTAGTGTCTTTTCTAAAGTCTCCTTATTCTTATTCACTCACAGCAACCCCTTGTGTCTTAGTGGTATTATCGCCCTGTGAGTAAGAAAAATCTCAGTGCGTATCTTTATTGTCAACACACTAAGACAACTGAAGTTTTTGGAACATCTTATAGGAGAAAGAGATCCTAGAGAATTAAACACTCGCGGGACATAATGAAGGCGGGGTAAGCAGCGAATAATCTTAACGAACTTGTATGAATAGATAGCAGGACAAGGACAAAGAGTGATGGTGACGGGTAAAAATATTTAAACTATCAGAAGAGTTATGATCACCTACGTCCTGAAATCACAGTGGCACATACGATTTTTTTAAAATTTGATTTCGTGATGTAGGTTTATTGTAAATTTTCTCTTGTTGAAAATGTGTGACCTCGCTGCTTGAAACGCAGTGGAAATGACAAATATTTGCTATATTTACAACAGCGTTTTACGTATCAGATTAACGAATTACCTAACTCATTGTGAATTAGATGTCACCCATTTTTTGTATGTGAATGTTTAATAAATAATAGCATTTTCGTGGTTAAACGTGCTCACAAGAAACAAATGTTAAAAGGACGGTTTTCCCGTGACACCGTTTCTTTTCTTTAACTATCTTCATTCTTCGGCCATGTTAAAAAAAAAGTGATGATTAGAATTGGAATAAATGCTAATCATATAACGAAAGTGAATTTATATATTTTCATTCTTCTTGAGAATTTGCAACAAAAATAATAAATACTATTTATTTATTAAACTGTCTATTTACTCTATTTGTTGGAATGATTGTTAAAACATCGACAAATTGACAATTGATTAAAACTTTATAAAACGGTAAATAAGGATTTTCTCATAGTTGAATTGCACATGTATGTGTGTATATATATATATATATATATATATATATATATATATATATATATATATATATATACACACATACACGGTAAACAACTGATTTCAACCGGCCCCACAGAAAAGATGCAGTGTCTATGACCTCGGTGACCACTCACTAGGACCTCTTCTACCTATCCATTAACCTTTATGGTGCGCGACTTTTGCCTTACTCTGTATGATTATATATACAAGATATAAAATATCGCATTTTTTTGGTGCGACCTCGTTCCCAATAACCGTTACACATGGCGTCACCGTAGTCTATTTCAAACTTCCAGCTTTTCAAAGAATATCGGGATGTAAACAAAGGAATTCTGTATACCACACGGTTCTTGATAGTGACTGAGATGATTGAAAGTACATGAACAAAACAACACAATATGAACTTAGTACAATTTATCCACAATTTCGAGGACAATACTCAAAACATCACTTAAAAATACAATTAAATATTAAATAGAGTAGACCATATCGGTTCTTTTTAATGAAAGTTTGGATCAATACATGCTATATATATATATATATATATATATACCAACATTTGAAACTGTTATGGCAATTTAAATTATAGTTTTAGTTTGAAACAATAGACAAGATGTCTTTTTTAAAGTAAGTTTTTGCCGTTGTTGGATTAATTTCCGTATGGTGATATTGAAAATGTAAAATTATCGAAAAAGGAAATCATTAAAAATTCATGCTATGACAGATTTTGAATTTCATCCAATGTCTTTCTTGATAACAACTCAAGTTAGTCAAAGTTCGGAACCTTAACAAGAACTAACACAAACTATAAACTGTTCCTAATCCTCCAATAAAAAAAAAGAAAGACGTTTGTCTGCCTGCTTTTAACAAAACTGGTTTTTGCCACGAAATGTGAATGCAATTTCTAGTTTGTCTCTTCGTCTTTGGAATGTAATTTTTAAAAGAATATCTCTCAGAATTAAGACAAAACGTGTCTTACTCTTAACACTAGGCATTGGTGACGAGATTGCTTAAGAATACAAGTTTAAAACTTAAAATATTACATTGTGGGATATTTTAATAACAAGAACGACAGAAAGAAAAGCGGTAGGAAGCTGGAGGTTGATTGGGCTGTGCATATACACACATAGTGGACACCAGAAATATAATTTAAGCATCTTTGCATCTTCAGCGTTTCTTTCGTTATTATAACCGACGTTTGTTGTATTTCATTCGTTCCTCTCCTGCATATGATCCCACCAATAAAAACAACACAACAAACCATCCAACAAAACAAAAAAAAAAAAAAAAAAAAAAAACATTTAGCCTGAAGAAGTCTTTCGAAGGTTGAAACGCGACACAGATTTTTTTTTCTTGTTTGTCATTCAGTTATCCACATTTAAAAGTAAAACTATGGAAAGATAAAAGAGGAGAATGAAGAAAGTGGGTCATTTCGTGTTTTTATTTTAAAAATAGTTTTCTCGTATAAGATTCATTTTATTTTATTTTTCCTTAACGTACAGAGGGTCATTGGGGGAGGCTGGGTGTCTTGGAAGAACACTGTGACAAAAACACTTAAACGGAAATAATAAATAAAACCGTCAGTAAATTCGTCCTCCTAAGCATCTTTACAATAAAAAGAAGGTGAGGTGAGAGGGTTCCTATGAAAAGAGATGCCCTCCTACTAACACCATACACACACACACACACTCCACAGGAGAAAAGAAGACGAGGTTGTTTGAACGAATAAATGTGCTGACGGGGTCACTGGGTGCCCGTGGGGAAATTAGGATTCATGCTACAACCGCGTTTTGTGGGACATACGCTTTTGTTTTCTCTTTTTAACTTTGCCAAATATAATCTTATTTGTTAATATATATCCTGAATTCTATTTAATAATTGGTAATTTGAATAGAGCAAATAGTTTAGGAAAAAAAATGTTGGGTTTTTATTTTTGGACACGAAATAAAGGCTCGTTTATATTTTCCAGAAGTTCATTGATCAAAAACATTGTTACTAATATAAAACAATAAAAGTCCAGTAATGAAACTAATATTTTTTGTATTTATTACATAAATTTAGATTTCAAAGGAAAAGCAGTTCGAAAATACTAAATTGATATATCCTCTATTTTTTAAAGATTTTGCCGTAACGAAAGTGAACTAATTTGAATCGATGATATTCCGTTGCTGTGGTCGTACTTATACACCATTACGCAACTTACATGGTCTGCTCCCCACCACACAATGTATACAAATATAAAATTTTCTACGGCTTATCAACCCTTTGCAGGTTATTTAAAGCCAGGAAATATCTTTTTTAGATTATAAGAATTTTTTTAAAGATGATAATGGTTTAGTGATACGAGTCTTACTAATTAACCCATAGCTTGGAGGAGAAGCGGTGGATTCATATATTTCCCCAAGAGTATTTGCGCGTAAGTGAATATAAATAACTAAACGGAAATTGGAACTCGGCTCTCCGATTAACAATTCTGAACCATTATCCATTACACCGCCCGCACATCCAACCTAATAGCAACGGGTATTCCCAAGCAGTCACCCATCTTGGTACTGACCAGGCTCGATGTTGCTCAGCTTCGGTGATCGTACGGGAGCAAGTGTTTCAACGTGATGTGGTCGTAAGTTGTTACTTAGCTCATTAGCGTGATATTTAGCCTTTCAACTCCAGAGTTTCGTAGACTGACCCATTTTGTAATTTTTCAGTCCACTCATCAGGAGATTTCAACAAGTGACTGCAGTTTTTCTTAATATACAAATAACGAACAATGAGAAAATTGCTGAAACCTCCTGATGAGTGAACTTAAAATTTACAAAAGTAGTCCGTCTACGAAACTTCTAAGCTAAGTGACAATTTATCTTGCCGGAATCTATCTTGCACATTTATAAATCTACCATTGCTTCTGCTAGGTATTTAGAGATTTTTGATAAAATACAAAGATTCTGCAATGTTATTGGTGCTAACATGGCATCTCGGCTTCAGTCACTTTACCACTGCCATAACGTAGCTACCCTGTGCCTTTTCTATTAATATTGTAAATGTAATTTCTGGCGTGATGAATTTAAGGGTACTACTAAATTGGCAGCAAGGTATCATCACCTTACAGTTAAAATAGCTAGATGTAACCGTAAGTTCTATGCTAACAGTTTCTTCTCTCGCACTTCTTGTTTGTGGTTTTCTAGTCAACTTTTATCTCCAAAAATTTAAATGCAATAGCAATCGTTATCCTGTCTTAAAACACGTTAATTTATTTTTCTCGCTCCTTAATATTTTATTTTTCTCATATTCTCTCACACTCGGTAACCTCTTGCTTCTTAGTGGCTTTATTGTCTTGCTTAGGGTAAAATGATTTAAAAAAAGTAAAAATGTTAATTTAAATTCAATTTTTGAGCTATAAATTAATTTGTCATTGTTTACGTTCTACCCCCAGCTATGGGCAAATAGCAGGACAGACTGGGTTCTATAGCCTTGGATGGCAACTGGACTACCGCAGAAAGATATGAGAACCCACTGCGGGGGAAAAATTGCCTCATCAGTCATGTATCGAAAGATACATGATCGCCTAAGCGTGTATCACGCATGGAACATAACTGACTGAAAGTATATATTTATTCTGGTAAGATCATGCTAAAGCTCTAGTTTAGAGGTATCTTTACTCATTGATATCTCGCTTTGGTTGTTTCCATAGAACCGAATGTCGCGGAAAGTTTTCACCTCTTGTCAAAGTCAGTCACCATTAAAAGCAAATTCCTACTTCACCTGCTTTAAAATGTCATCAGAATCAATAATTGTTTGTAGGCCTCCACGGCGTTTATAGGTCTATGTCTGTCATGGTGTCGAAATTCATTGTGTATCGACGGAAAAAAAAAAATGAAAAAAATTCACTAAATAAATAAATTTCGAAGCATATGTAAACCGCCATGCTTTTCAGGTTGATTCAATAGCGTTGCCCCTCTGCAGCCAATTGGTATTGTTAGATTTGATTGTAAAGAAAATGCGTGGTTCGTCAGTCAAATCTGTCCGGCCCGTCTGGAAAAGGCTTAATTTCACATGATAAGAATGTTGAAGTACATCCTAGCAACCTAACAAGTTTATTTAACTGAATGACTGAATAATTTTCTGTAAATCAAATGAGAGCATATTTTGTAAATCTTAATACTTCACTGTTTTTTTTTTCTTTTAATCCTTTCACCCTATCAAGAGGTTACTGAGTGCGAGAGAATATTAGAAAAAGAAAACAGTAAGAAGAGAGGACAATAAAAGAACATGAGTTAAGACAAAAAGATAACGATTGATCTTCAAAAATATAAACACAATGTCAAAGTTGACTGGAAAGCAAGATGTCGGAGGAGAGTTCCACAAGCGAAAAATGCGGCAGAATAAACTTATTTTTGTTATTGATAATTACTATTTTATCTTTAGTAATAGAAAAAAAGCTCGTAATAAATAAAACCCAATATATTCTACAGACTTAACTTAGGTACCTCTATTATTTCGCGAAAATCTAATATAGCATGACAAGAACGGTCTGAAAATTAACGAAAAAAATTTTTTTCATGATAAAAGTATATTTCATTATTGAGAAGAAACACTAAAAGTATTTTTTGAGTAATTTTTGAAATTTTTTACTCATTCTTAGCATGTCCGAAATTTTAGTTAAAAACTTGTTTACAGAAAAAAACGAAAAAAACTCTATATCAGCCATATTTTTTAAAATTTTAAAAAATAAGTTAAATTCTTCGTTTAAAATTCGTTTAAAAATTAATTATACGTATTTCAATATTTATTCGAAGAAATTTAGAAAATTTAAAAGTTTATTTAAAATAAAGAAACTTTTACTTACTTTCTTCGTAGAAAAATGTTTTTAAAGAAAAAGCCGATCTTCACGTTGCCGTTGATTGACAAGTGTAAGTGATGACATCTATAAATTATTGACAGCTGACGTGAGATTCGAGTTCCCATACGAGAACAGAATGGACATATATTTTTTTTTAAGCGGACCTACTTAAGTAGTAATTTGTAATATTTAAAGTAAAAAACTTTAGGGTTAACTACTATGTACCATAGGTTTGTTGATACTCTCTGGAGAAATTATAAATACTATTAAAAAAACTAAAATAAAGTGCTGCACTGCTGTTTGAGGCCCATATAGACCCCTCTAAAGTCAATTCAGATTTGCTATTATAAAAAAATTCTATCCCCAGTAAAAATAATCAAACATAGTAAAAGTCATTTTGTCAAAGCCTATATTCTCGGAAAAAAAATAAATAAATGGATTCTTATATTTTTATGTAATAAAAAATTACTTATCTGGAAAAATACCAGGTAAAGTTTATCTGAATCTCATGAAACTAGGTATTTTCTGAAAGCAAACAATATGTTTCATTTTAAAATTGGCCAGTGTAAATGACTGAAAAGTTTTTAGTTTTCTAGAGGCAAAATGAAAACACACACAACCTGGGTTTTATAATTAAACCCATACGTTAGATCGAATTTCCACATTTTTCAACCAAAACCAAACATTACAGGACTACGATGAAAACTAGATGAAAGTACCTATTTTAACTTAATGAAAATGATGCACGTGTTTCAGCAGGAACAGTTTGCTAAATTAGGGGCCGTATACAGCGAAGAACAACCCTTACTAGACAGAAACTCAATCCACGTGACGTTATTTTTATTGCACGCACCAAACTTCCGGTCTTCCGTAGATTTCATTGGTAAACACATTATTGACAAATTAATTTTTTATATACGAAGACTCATTAGTTTGTAATAAGCTTTTTGGAAATTATAATCTGTAAATATATATCTACTTAAAAACAACATCCGTTAAGCTGTACGCGCTTTTTCCATAATTTTAGAAGAATTAACAACATAATGTAAAAAAAAAAACAATGGTTGCGGAAATAAAAAATAATTGTAGGTAATTGTTTTAAAAATTCATTTTCATCGAAATATCTTTTGCTTTCAGACAATATTGTCCATGTTTATTGGAATAAATAAAAGCAATTAAAAGCTTTTGAAATTAAATAATATTTTGTTTTATTGAGTTTTTGTATGTTACACTTCAGAGACGATTTTCAGGTAGAAGGGCTCAACTAAAAAAAAAACAAAAAACATGATTTTGTTTCCTCAAAGCATTGTGCTTTTTTTAACTGATATAATCACTAAACTCCTAAGAATTGAAATTATAGAGTTTTCGTACAATTAGTTAGAGTGGGTAAATACATAAAAAAAAAAAAATTTCTGCGATGACTTTACTAAAAAAAAATGTATTTATAATAAGTTCCATCATTTGTAAATAGTTTCTGAAAATTTCATTAAAATGACAATTATTTTCATTTTTGCAAGATTTTCCAAATTAATGTGTGTCAAACGGGGAAAAAAACGCGCCCAAATGTTTTAACGTTAATTTATCAGCCAAGCTGATTGTCTTTTAATCAAAATTTACAATGTTCTAAAAAAGAAAAAATTTAAAAAATAAGTAAAAATACTTTGATCTTTCCTCTAAAAAGTAACTATTTAACCGAAAAATCAACTTTGGTCTTTTAATCATGCTATGCTCTTTTTAGCGATCCAACAGAGATACCTAACTACTGTAACAGTAACGATGCTTTGGATTTCGTTCAGAATCCTAGATTCTTTCAAACAGTTTTTACAATAGTATTTAGTCATTGGTAATAATAATGATTAGGAAATTGAAAAAGAAAAAGGTAATTACTTCTAAAAGAATCTTACGAGAACAAAGCATAAAAAATTTATTAGGGGTTTATATCCAGAGTCACCAGATTAAAATTGTTTTTGGACCTCTTCAGTAGCCAGAAATAAGATAATTCATGATTATTTTATAATGAAACTAAAATACGGCATGTTAGAAGTTAAAACAAAGATCACTAATGACAATTCCCCACCCCGAGTAATTTAGAATTACAAATATTTGGAGGAACATGTTTGGCATGATCAAAGGATATATTATGTAACATAGTGTTATAGCAAGAGGACATGACATGTCGCGGAGTCACATGACTAAGTAGTCATGTGGTTTTAACAAAGGAATGTGACCAATAAAGATTTGTACAGGTCAGAAGTGGTCGGTCAATTTGAAACCGGGCAATCATGTCGCCTGTTTAATTTCGTTCTCTGCATTGCACATTCGAATAAAAGAAAAGATGCTATCAACCATAAAATGGTAGCTTATGTTTCCTTCTACAACAGATCATTCGCCAACGGCTTAAGAGTTCACTGGGGATTTTGTGGAGCCTGGAACCATCTCTTAATTGATGTTGTTCCCAGGGCCATAAAACTGATCAGATAATATGGGCAAATAGTGAACACCCAAATTGTATTCAAAACACTATGACAGTATGAAAATACATTTTTATAATAAAAAATTCCGGTAATAGATTTTAATCATAAAAAAAAAAAAAAAATATTCCGGCAACAAATTTTCATAGAAAAAAAAAAAAAAAAAAAAAAAAAAAAAAGTAGCAATAGATTTTCATAGGGGGGAAAAAAAACAAACAAACTAGCAATAGATTTTCATAGGAAAAAAAAAAAAAAACTAGCAATAGATTTTCATAGGAAAAAAAAACTAGCAATAGATTTTCATAGGGAAAAAAAA